CCAAAGAGATAAAAATAATTGATATTATTAAACCATTGGCAAAAAGTTTGTTACACGATTTTGCAAATATTTAGTATAGTTGAAACAGGAAAATTCAAAACGAGAGGTGAGCGTCTTGTTAATGAAAGTCCGATATCATTACACAGATTAATAGGCTGAACACGGAAGTTCATATCTTATCAAGAATCTTAACGTTTACCAAAATATCTTGCACCTACATGTTTCTGTTCTCTGTATGCTCAAAACATTATTTTGGTCGACTGCTTGTATTTTACAAGCATAATGTTTGTACATCTCCTTGATGTTACAGTGTTTAAAGGGCGAATGTCAACATTACTAAAGTAAGTTATATCAAGAATGACCACAGATGTAGCAAAAACTGCAGATATGGTTTATGTTGATTATAGCCAAGGAGGTTTTGTCAAATGATTATTTCCACGAAGTCAAGTCCTTGAGGGGAAATGATGCCTTATGAAAAATGAACTGAACTTGTGTGTCCACGAGGAATGATTAAGTCCTTCGTGATTCAACAATCATTCCATGAATCAACGTGACATTCTCTTGATGAAAACGTCATTCTTGGGTATTCTGTTCAACTCTTTTTAGAGCGCAAGGCCAGTTCATGAAGAGTGTCAGCTTGTGGTATTAGGTGGTGTACACATCTTACGAGCACTTCTCACTGTGTTCAATGTGGGGAAGATGGGCGTTAAGAGCTGTACTTGTTTATGAGGCTATATTCGTGGGCACGTGTATTATCGTCTTGGAAGAAATACCCTCGATCAGTATAGGATGGAAAGAGCAGAGCGCGTTTGGCAGCAGAATATTAACACAACGCGTACGGTGGCATCCCGTGCAATTCCAAGTGATATTGTCTTTTCTCTGCCGTGGCGATCCCAACCCATACATTTACTGACACTCAACCCCATTGTCTGTCATGCAGGCGACATTGACATCGGCGTTACCTTCATCAACACGTATCCAAACATGACTATGGCTACTACGGCAGTCGGTGAACCTGGATTGTTCAGAGAACAAAACACTGAACATCGTCTTCACTCAACGTGTCCACTTTGGCTGCACCACTTGCGTGGGGTTTGATGTAGTGAGCAGTGAAACCTGGGATTATTCGTCGCCATGGAGGACACATGATGTTAATTTCGAAAGGCCTCCCCTGAAACTCTAAATCCAGTAGTACCGTGAAGGTTGTGGGCAATTTCGTTCTCTTTTATCGTCGATTCCGTGAAACCTCCACTCTGATAGGACGCGTGTCGTTGATCTAGAAGCGGACTCGATAGCCCAGGTGCATCATTTGTCGCACGTTGTTGTTAAGTTTGCTAATTACAGACTGTATTAAGTGCATTGATTGCGATACGCTGACTTGTGTCGATTATGAAGCACGTCATTAAAACCCATGTTACAGACATCGCATTGTTAATTAGTACAAAACGATGATTGGTGTATGGTTGATCGCGCAAAGGTCGGCGGTATTCCTTGCGTGTCAATTCAGGGGTATAGTTTATGGATACCAGGGGGCAACGGAGGTCCTGTTGCCTAAAATGACACTATTCACCGGGCAGAAAGTTACATCTGAATTAATCATACAATTTTGTTATCTGCCTTGCTGAAAGACAACGATGCGAGTGTGTCTAATTCAGTATAGTGAACACACACCGCATGTATTTTGTTTTGTAAAGAGCTTTATCGATTTAATTTGGAATATTTGTTTCTGTTTCTGAGATAGTTTAAATCATTCATATTTGTTTTTCATTCTCCCCCTGTCCCATCTAGTTTACTACTATCTGGGTTAGAATTGATCTTCAGCAACCCATGCTTGTCGAAGGAGGCGACTAACGGGATCAGGTGGTCAGGCTTGCTGAATTGGTTGAGACATGTCATCGGTTCCCAACTGTGTAGATCAATGCTCGTGCTGTTGATCACTAGATTGTCTGGTCCAGCCTCGATTATTTACAGACCGCCGCCATGTAGCTGGAATATTGCTGAGTGCGGCGTTAAAACAACAAACGAACAACAACAGCAACCTATCTGTTTTACAAACGAAGCATTGGAATCATGCTACTAAACATAATACATTGCAGAGCGTATGTAGGACGAGGAGATCCAACCCTTTTGTAAGCAACAAATTCGAAGAACGTATTATGAACCTTGGTTAGACAGCACAGTACCCGTGCTTGCAGGTTTCGCGTAAAGGTTGTCTTCAAAATGTCCAACTCTGGATCTCCTCCAACATCAACCTAATCGTCGTGGTATACTCAAATATATGTACGTAAAATACGTCGAAAATCGTACCTCACACATTCGATAGTGCCAACAGCGAGGTACTTGTATTTAAAACATATGAGGATAAGCCTTAATTCATTTCGACCAGCTTTCAGACAAAACCATCTTTATTTCTATTGGCCATCATTCCAATTACTTACGCAATGGGGCAAACTGGCACTCGATTCAACTTTGCCCAAAGCGATTCGAGCAACGCCAACCAGCTGTCAAATGCACTGCTTTATTGTCACTTGTTTGGCCTTCAGTTCCCACTTTCGCCAAGTACCAGTATTAGATACCTGTCATTTAAATTGTTTTGATTTAAATTGCCCGGCTAAGAAAAGCGATGTCTGCCAAAATGTCACCCTGAGCTTTATTCGGTAGGCTTTTGGTCTCCTCCACATCGTCTGGAATTGTCAAGATGCAATTGTGCTAAGTTTTTAAGTGTCAAAGCCTTCTTTCAATATAGCTTCATAAAAGATTGCACTGAGAAATTGAAGTTAGAAATAAGAGTAAAAAGCTTTAGTTAGATGAGCGATATGCTGTTACGAAACAGTATAATTATCTTTAGTAGAATATTTTGAGGTCATTGCTTTTTAAGGAACGGCTTACCAAAGCATTAATACAAAAACGGTTCACAAAATATATACAGTATAGGCCATTCTACTTTCAATAAAAACAAACTGAAAACGCTAACAACATGGTAGGGGAGTAACTACATGATACGCTGTCTGTTAATTTTCGATTTTCCTCATTGTCGTTTTAATGCTAACCGAACCTATTAAATCTTTCCGTGATCCCCCCTGCATGCCATTTCATCAAAGGATTCAAACGACAAGTGGTATTTTTTTCTAGCTGCACATGCTGAGGCTTGCTACCAAGCTCAACTGGATTCTACAGATATATTCGATGGTTGAATTGCCATAATGTTGAGATACCTGAAATGCAGCCACTGGGGATTTGTGGGGAAGTATTTCAAAAGTGGCCAAAAATATTTATCATGACACCTTTTTCAGAGAACGGAAGCAAACTTTATCTACTGCAGCAATTCTTCTGATTTAATTAGAAGCAGGACATGAGCGTCATTATCTGTCTGAAACCAATGAACCTAACATTGCACTCTAACTGTTTGAGTTCCTGTAAGTTAGATCGTGACTAGAATGTTTACGCTCTATCATCCGAGCTATGTAAGGACCATCTGCTCTTGGAGTTGAGATGATATTTATCTCAATAACAAGAACTGTTTATGAAAGTTCCCAAGTTGTCCAGAGAACCGACTGATTCGCGTGTCTAACTTTGAGCAGTCCCAAAAGCTACCACTATTGCAAATTCAGACAAGCAGCCTCAAAGTTTGAAAGTTAAACAACTCGAAACGGAATCTCTCTATTTTCCTACAATCTGAAAATCAGCAGACCTAGAGGCTTTAAGTAAATTTGAAGAGTAGATCCCCCCTTATGTAATTACCACACATATCTTCGTCTTCCCAACCATCGACAGGTTGTCAGACATTTCATTGCACACTACATTTAATGAATAGAGACATTATATACTCCACGTAAAATATGCCCGAAGGCTCGCATGTCTGCCATGACGCACCAGAGAAACCTAATTTTGCGTAAGGGAATCGTGAAAATACTACGTCCACGTTCGAGCATAACTAGTACCGATGACCTCCGAAACAGATTCCACTGGGCGCAAAGGGCAAAACAGAGGTGAACATCGTACTAAGTTATCGCTGAATGAATCTCAGTGACGTCCCCAGGTTTTAACGGAAATAGTACACCAAACTAGAACTAGCATTATAGTACCAACTGCGTTCTGCTCATATCTTCACATAGGATGGTAGGGCTTGCTGTATAGTTTCTTTAAAGGAACAAATTGTCTGAAGGATTTTCTTAACGCCCACCACGACGACCTTTCTGAAATATTTTGCCAAAAAAGAGTACAACTCGCTCATTTCTGAACCTTTCTAATTTCTTTTTTTTTACACATTGTGTTATAATGACGCATACAACCTTTTACACATTAGTGTTATAATGACGCATACAACCTTTTACACATTAGTGTTATAATGAAGTATATAACCTGGATCACACGGTGGGAGGAATCGATTATATCATCAACCACATGAACGAACATTGAAAAAGCTTTTATACCGTTAGTAGGTTATAACATGCATCATGCTCGAGGATACCATCAAAGATGACACATGCATCTTAGCGACTACTGTTGTTTCATTTGTATTAAATACGTTCCTAGTCTTGTAGAGATTATTGACTTGTTACCCCGCACAGCTCCCAAGAACATGATTTGGACCCTGAACAGTAAATGATATCTATGTTATTTTTATGTAACTCAAATACAACCCATAACGGCGTTAACAAAGCTAATATAAAGTTACTTAATCATTAATCCTCCTGACATAAAACTCGACTTTACATAAGGCAAAGATATACAATGTGTGTAGTTCTTCTGTGCAAGTCAGTGAAAATTGCACACTAATATTTTGCAATTATACTGTTTAAGTCTTTGTAGTAATGTGAAATATATTGCACTCAGTGAGGCCACTAATTTTAAATATATTTTGGCTTTCAACTAATAATCGCCTGAGCAGCTCAAACTTAATTTGAGAGAATCTCATTTGTGTGTCTTTATAAAAAACATAAATCATTTATTGATATATTATATATATGTTATTAATTTTGTGATTTTCCATTTTTCAGAATACGGTGCGAATGACCTATTACGACAACGACACTACTGTGATGGTAATAGTGTGTGGCGACACCGGCGTACAGACTGAAGACAGACTTATATTTAGTGTATACCAGTTCATCGCCATGTTCGCCGCACCCACACTTATAATGCTGTTCTGCTATTTGTTCGTCATCCATGTGCTATGGATTAGTTCACGGCAGCTGCTCAACTTGACTACACCTATGTCAGAAAGGTATTTAAGTGCTAAAGGTTAAGGTAGACAAAATATTTATTTGGTCGTTTGTGAGTTTATATTTGAAGATAATTGTGCAAGCATGAATTAAGACGCGGGAGTATACCTCTACCGTCTCGATGCTGATCTCGTAAATGACGTGGTTGAAATTGTCTTCATGTTGAAATTTTAACGGAGGATAATTGGCAAAGTGCTGTGTAGGAGGAATACACTCAGTCTGTTAATAGTGATGTCGGCAGTCATCTGTTGTGTAGACGTTAATCTATGCCCACGAGGGCACACCGACCTTCAAGAGGCCTTCAAAACTATTGATCATATTCGTTATACAAATGTACCGTATATCCTCACCAACAATGTACATTAACAAATAATGTAATGAAACGATTTAATAATTGTAAATAATGAAGATAATGTTTGAAAAATTATTCGACACTTTATTCAAACTATCTGTTTACTTGGGCTTATCGATTTTTTTTCAACACTAAAAGCAGTCTTCTTCATTTACTTTAAAAGGATTGTTGTTTATGGGTAAAGTTTGCTATCTAGTTACATGTTGATGATCAGTGTAAGGATGTTCCCCAAATTCATGTCTCATCTGTTTGTATAAGAAACCTGTTTTAGTTGAAACTAAGCAGGGACGCTTATTATAAATTGTAGAATTGTTTTATAATGAATTTTGCCATGAAACTTAAATTGTAATTCAGACAAATGAGATCTTGCAGATGGAAAAGAAGTTTGGTTTAGAGACGTGAAGCAGATAACTCAAGATAACTAAGTTGCTTAGTTAGCAAATCACTGGATAGATCTCCTTGATGAGCAGGACAACTGAAAACAGTTACGTCATCGTCTATATTTACTGAGATAGAGATCAATGGCTTATTCTCGGGGGCTCTCTAAGTCATACGTCCTCCAGTTGGATATTTTACCACCAAATACTAATGCGGCAAAGGTACCTCTGAGGCATATCTGTCGGTCCAGCATCAGTTTTATAAGGAAGACTCTCTGAATGACCACTGCATCGAGTTCATGTCTCATGAAGAAAAGCAACCGTTCATCTGGTCCTTCACTTGGACAAAGCTGGCTCCCCTGAAGAAGTCTTCCTCTTGGCTTCTCAGGACCAGTCACTTTCTACTTGAAGCCGTCAATGGGTGATTTGCATCAAAACCTGGATGCGAAACATATCAATAAACAGGTTTGTCACTGGATGCCCAGCTTTGTTACAAACACAGAATCTGAATCATTTTGATATTCTTTCGAATATGCAAGTATACAGCCGACAAACCTGTCCTTTTCGATGAACTTAACTAACTCATTTTTTGTAATAACTGCATTCCAATGTGAGCATTCTTATCGTTAAGCTCTCTGTCCTATGTGACACTAATGTGGTTCACAAGATTCAAGAAAATGTTGGCTGGTGACCTTGCTTATGAAATCGTTTGTATCCCAAGTTCCCAGTTGTCCGACTCCACATTCGTCTTGGTGCCCAAGGCGAGGTAACTCCCAATCCCTTGACTGACACTGGAGTGTGTATTGCTGCCAGGAATAAAGCTTTCCTGACACTCTGGGTAATGCAGATGCCTCCATGGCCAGCTTTGGGGAGTCTTCACATTCTCCGGAAATGTCTTGGTTGAGAGGAGGCAAGGACCTTGAGCTGATGATAACAGTACCAGCCTGACTGTACCAGGATCATCCGAACTCTCTTTGCTGCATTTGTATATTTTAATCTGTAAACAATAATAATAACGCCTTTACGAAAAAAATCATTTTCCAACTACCACCACACAACAAAGTGGAGATGGGACCGGCACAGAGCACAAGAATATTTTGGACACATCAGAACAGAACAGAACAGAACAGAACAGATTACTTTCAGGCCACAATCCGTGCCATATGAAGTTCAGTGTACAATATTATTTAACATACATGCATGATGAATACCACTGTCTTTTGGGAAACTCACAAACTACGGTTCTAACGAGAGGTAGACTTAAAAACTCTAGGTAAAAAGAAACTGATCCTTAAGTCTTCTATGACCATTTTCTTCAAAATATGAACTGAGTTAAATTTTGAGATTGGCAAATGTACACAAGACGGGTTTTTCTGAAGATAGATTCTAATGTGGAAATGTATTTATTCAAGTTTTGTGACAGGTAGTGATCTTCAAAAAGCAATTTATACAGCAAGTATGAGAGTATAGATGTCTTTCCTGACACCTTTCCATCCCAATATGTTAAAATATACACTTGATATACAGAGGTGTTATTCCACGCTCCCCATCTATATGGCGAGAGGTAGGTGGACTCTTTCTTAATGGAATGAGGTTACGCCAAAAGTGTAAATGTACCTTCTGATTACATCTTAAGTCCTCAAAACCCAATTCAGGTCTACACTTCGTGAGTGTGCGAAAGCAACAGGATGGACAGAAAGGCCATGATTAAATGGCACATTAATGACGCAGCATCGTGACAAGCCATGCCAATGTATGCACATCTGACAGAACAGCATATTCGCGATCAGCTCCGGCCACTAAAGTTTTAATATGTGCCATGAACTGCAATTGGTGATCTTGTCTGTCAACACTCACATCCTTTATTCGCCAATTGTGAAGGTTGAAGGTGGGCGGCGGAGGCCAACTAAACAATAAAAGTGTGTCTTACAGATTGTGTGCCATCATGTTACATTTCCAGTGGTTCCTATGGAGCAAAGAGGAAGCAGAAATGGATTTTGGCGTTGCATGAATCAGTTGTTGGTTAGCACGAAATCTTAAGACATCCCACTGTAGTCTGTCGATGTGTCGGATAGATTACAGAAAAGATGCCTGTGATTCTGTACCACACGAGTGGATTTTGAGGTCAGAGGAATATATTGTATTGAACACCATGTAGAGTCCTTTGTTTGGGAGAAGTCGGCTGACCTGAAAAGTACAACAGAAGGCTTCTTCACTTTCCATTCAAACCGTCAATGTGTGTTTCCACATTAATGTGTAATTTAAAATGTATGCATTAAAAACTATGCATTTATGTAATGAACCAGAATAGTTATGGAGAATGGTAATTCTTTCCTCGGCATATCCAGGCCAACAAACTTGACCTTGTCGTATTTGATAAATCAAGTGAAATCACACATCTCTGTCCTTCTGACACTTATGTGAATGATAAGATGCAGCTAATATGCGACCTCGCGTACGAAATGCCACGCTTGCATCCCAAGTACCAAGGTGTCCCGACTCCCCATTGTTCTTGGTAACCCCTGGTCTGACAATGGGAGAGTAGCTGCCAGGAACTCAACCCTTCTGACTCCCTGGGTAATGCACAAGGCTGCAGTGATTGTGATTGTCTTCATATCCACCGACAGTACTTCGTGGGTGAAGTCGTTTTCTTTGTCTGGGCAACGTGTAGTGTCAAGGGTCTCGATTTGAATATGAACCTAAGCAGCCTGACTGTACTAGGATCAACTAAACCCCATTTGCTGCTTCTATATATTATTCTAATTTGTAAATACTAATAAAAAGTGACTTCACAATCCGTAGCCAAATAGACATATAACGTCAACGCCAGAAAATATAAACTCATGATCATATGATGATCCCAACAAAACAGAATCCACTGGACGTGAAAGGCAAAACAGCAGTTAAGATTGCATGATGGGGTAAATGAAGACCAGTGAGAGATCGCCACCAAAAGTTCATTGTACATCTCTATATCACTATATATACTGAGGGAAACAAATAAAGAACACCACTCCATGGCAGTGTTCCTATATCTATTCTCAGATTTCCTCCCACAGTGCTATTCAAAGATTGTGATGAAAACTGGAAAATATTAAAATAATGACCGTTTGAATTTTCATGCGTTCCCTTATTTGTTTCTCTCAGTATACCTCCATGAGCCACTACCGGACTGTAATGAAACGGACTGTTAACGGAGAGGTTATTAGCGTTTCCTGCGTATTAGCATATGCCAACTCTTCATCTTGAAAAACATATGTTACAAGTCAAAATACTGATATCATTTCTGTCAAATCTGGAATTGTTCACCAAATGTTTACCACAAAACATTTTGAGAGCTTTGTGTGGTTTTGGAAGACAAGGCTCGGTTCTATCTCGACAGTTACGGACTGGAACTGCTGGACTATTTCTCGACGTAAATGTGATTGTTGGAATCCTAATCTTTACGCAAACATCTAAATTTGAAACAAAATTAAAATGAACTCTGAAACAGGTACAATTAATCACTGACTATATGTACAAAGATTATATCTCATCGTCGGTATTCCTGACGCTTATCAATATTTGGATATCCACGAAATTGGACGCAGATTTCAATACTGGTCTCGCGCATAATATCGTAGATGCCGCCATTCGTTTCAAGTATACCTTGTCAAGATAAAGTTCATTTATTTATTCAGTGTTCAGAATGTGTGACCTATGGGAAAACGCACTATCTCTAATATTAATGTATTTTGGCATAGTTGAAATGCGAACACGGAGGATTGACACATAACACATATCAATCCCGACATTCATAAGAAGTTACAATATCTCACTATTCCTTTGGGATCTCATATTCCTATGTTAGTCACGTAGTCATATTGAAGCACAGAAATATATAGGTGAAGGTTTGGGAAAAGGGGATTAATAGGTTTACTGAGAGGACATTGAGGAGGAGGTTTTCAAAGGACCGCAAGTCGTTGGGTTTAAGTAGGCAGGGGCATAATCGTGCCTACAATTCAATTACTTAATACCTTCAACAAGTCGGAATAGGCATTGGTGCAGAGATATACAAATGGAGTACCCGTGATTGCAACAGTCTATAGGGCGGTGGGGTAGCCTAGTGGTTAAAGCGTTCGCTCGTCACGCCGAAGGCCCGGGTTCAATTCCCCACATGGGTACAACTTGTGAAGCCCATTTCTGGTGTCCCCCGCCGTGATATTGCTGGAATATTGCTAAAAACGGCGTAAAACCATACTCAGCCGGTCAGCAACAGTCTATACCCCCGGAGTGAGAGAGTATTGTTTAACGCCGCTTTTAGCAATATCACGGCGGGGGACACCGGAAATGGGCTTCACACATTGTACCCATGTGGGAATCGAACCCGGGTCTTCGGCGTGACGAGCCAACGGTTTAACCACTAGGCTACCCCACCGCCCCCTATACCCCCGGAAACAAGATGGATGATATGCAATGATTAAATAGCAACATATGATTTAACTGGGAAAGGAACGTTTAACATATATGCTCTGCTAATCATAGAAATACGGACTCTTTTCCATTCCAACTCATAGTGCAGCAGAACGGACATACAGGATGAGTTGTATCCCCACTCCCGATGTGCTTACAGTCATAAAATATCAATGTTGATGGGCGTGTATAGATTTTGTGCGTGGTGTTGTCAATTTTCATTTCTACAGTGGGTGAGTTTTCCACAAATCTTGATATCACGATTCCATAAGTAAATACAAGGCTTCAAAGCAAATGCATGTGTTACAGACCAATGGTTTTAGTTGATAGACCACAATCGTTTTCTTAAACAAATAGAACCCTGATGAGTATATTTCAATTCCTCTGGGTTTAAAAAAACACATTACAGAACACCATGAAGGTTAGATTTGTTCTCGTTGACAATAATGTTCAGTGATATTTCGAGCGTTATTGCCATAGATAACACCTGAAGGTGTTTTTCCCGAAAAGCTTTTTTTAGAGAATATGTTATAATGCGTTAAGATCCGGGTTAGAATTGGTCTTCAGCAACCCATACTTATGAAAGTGACGACTGATGAGATCGGGTGGTCAGGCTCACTACTTGCTTTGATGTCATTGTTTCCCAGTTTCGTAGATCCATGCTCATGCTGTAGATCACTGGATTGACTGACTCGAATATTTACAGACCGCCACCACACAGCTGGAATATTGCTAAGTGCGGCTTCAATCAATCAATCAATCAATCAATCAATCAGTTAATCAATAGATTAATCAATCAATCGATAAAATGCGTTGACATACATTTTCGTTTTTGTATTAACTGTTTTTGTTGCTTTACAGTAAAAGCGACAGCTACACGTCAGATGAAACTCTTAAAAGATTGACAGTGTTAGACACGCCAACTCAGACGAGACAGTGGCACCGATGTCGACGGAATCTTGTCCACAGAGCTACACGAGAACATAGTGTAGAAGTGCTGCGAGCTAGACGACAGGTGAGGAAAAACGGAATTTTGTGTGTGGTGTTTAGACAATACCAGTTGTACGATTACCTGACAATATGTCGGTGTAAAGCCTGACCCCACAATTTCGTTGTTATGACTAATATATATGTTTTCTTTTTCAGGTTATCAAAATGCTAATAACAATTATTATAGTATTTCTCCTGTGTTGGGGGCCCAAGCTTATTATACGGATATTGCAAAGAATGAATTCAGAAGCCTTGTGGTATCCGTCTGTCCTTATAACAAAGGTGAGTATGAGTAAGTTTTTATTTAAGTATGTGCTTTCTTATGATTATGCAACTGGCGATGCTTGTGTGGATTGGTCATCAAATATGTTAACATGAATGATATTTACTTTTGCATCTAGCAAAGTGTGATATCTGCCAACAAACTTCGGTATACATGCACAGATTTTACTGCTAGACTGTGAATCGCTTTGGACATTTTGTCTGTCGTTATATAACAATTTGAAACAATATATGTCATAAGAGTCATAAGCGTAAATAGACTAGAACTAGAACGTACATTATCCCCATGTTTTACGAAATTGACATTTGTTTATCATCAATATGTCCAAAATAGATATGAAATATAAAATTCACGTATAGCCATTTTGCAAAATAGGTTTGTTGTGCACAGTTGATGCACACAAAATTGTTAATAGCTTCATAAAAACACCAGCTTCACTTTAGTTATTAACTATCGGTCCCGTATACATATTAACCTTTAGTGCTGTGCCCTATGTACATGATTTCATAAGATACCTAAATATACCCCTTGGGAAAAGAAACGAATAGATGGAATTAATAACCTTTTCACATGAAAGCCATAAAGGTAAAAACGATATATGAAGAATGAATATGATAATGATTTAAGACCAGAAAACTACAATACAGAAAGTAATACCACGTGGAAACAGAGGATCGAGTCACGTGCATATTCTGCACGTGAAACATCTGAAACATCATGAACGGGTACATGTTATTGGAGACCGTTCTCAAATTCCAAACCGTTGTCTGCTAGTAACTACGAGGTCACATCATGCAATTGAAGCTTTACAGAACTATGTGGACTGGATAAACCGTGATCACGTGTCATCAGAGTATTCGATGGCTCTCACCATATTAAGACTTTGATACTGGCATCAACACTATGGAGCAGCAGCCTCTACATCAGCAACAATTCCATGATACCGTTAGGCCTGACACTGCAGAACTGACTTCGTCGGGCAGATCTCAAAGTCTGTCAGGGTGTCACAGTGATGCATATGACGTATACTATCTTCTGGGCTGATGGAGCCATTTATGCCAATCCTTATCTATGCTCTTTTCAAGGATAAGTAGGTTCATTACATCTAGACCACTAGTCATGAACTGTATAATATAAATAGTCACGTTTTTCAAGGGAAGATATCACGCCCATAATAGCTTTCCTCTATTAAAGCTAACGGCTCCATTCGGAAGGATGGTGGTCTTGGAAGATAAAAAGCACACATGCAGGGCACGATACATATCGCTGTCACTGATATTGTCGATATGCCCTTTTACATTCATCAATCCCTGCTTCAACAAGCAACTAACGCTACCGGCAACGTATTCTAATATCAAGCCTGTCATTTCTAAATGCCGAGATAGTAATTCCCTCAAATATTGCATCAATGAGACAGGCGGAAAAATGTCTGAACAACAGAACAATGACCTGACGAATGTCAAGATGTAAACCAGCGGATATGGGGTAACATGTATAACTCAATATCAGCATGGTAATCTTGTTCATACGTGAACGGATTGGACAGTTGTTTATACTGCAGTCGTCAGTGTTGCGTGTACGTACGAGATGCACTTCGACAGTGTATAATGATACTGATCTACTTTTTAAAATGCATCGTTTATCTCGCTGGAATAAGTGAAGCTTTTTAGGATCGGCAAACTCTCTCCGTTGATGAGTATTTGGTCTGATTTCCGGCTTATTATTTCTCTTTGTTGTTGCAATAGGGATATTGAGGTTTAACCCACAGCCTTTGATGGAAGAAAATTTAACGGCGTAATATATCCGCATCAGCAAATATAAAAGGCAGCTCTTACAGTCACAAATATCGCTCCTTTGAACTTTCCTATCACTATCCTTACAGGCTACTCGTTGATGCATGTTGATGCATCTTGATGCCAAGATGGCATTTTTCATACGTTTTGCTGTAAAATATTTAAGACACAGTGAGGTCATACGCGAACATTTGTATTGACGTAACACTGGACATGGTTATCTGGGTGTGGTCCCGATGGTTCAAGAGTGGAACACCGAGATGTCAGGATAGATATAGATAACTGCCACGATTTTGGTTTCAGTGATACGTATTCCGTGACATGACTGTTTGTGTGTCATCACTGATTTTCACTGAACCATTCATATAATTTTCCTCAATAATTTGCCCAATTTTGCGCCCATGGATTGCGTTTCGCCAGATGGTTCAGATATCATCATGCGACTCTTGATCAGAAGTTGGTGATGAGGCTTTCAACATGCAATGCCTCAAGAAAGCCTTAAAAGTATTTATTGCAGACATGTGGAAGAAATCAGTAGTGCAGCCTTGACACAAGTGTTGTCCCGATTTGTGAAATATGTTCCCGAGTTTGTTCAGGTCATAGACCTACCTTGGCCAACGGTGGGTCAGGATACTTTTTGCGAACACCTGGTGTATTTGGTACCTACGTGCTTCCTACACACATACGTATAATCTTGGGACGGTGGGGTAGGCTAGTGATTAAAGCGTTCGCTCCTCACGCCGAAGACTCGGGATCGATTCCCCACTTGGGTACTATGTGTTGTCCCCCCGCTGTAATATTGCTGTAATAAAGCGGTGTTAAACCACACTCACTCACTCACTGAAATGCCGAGACTATCGGTTATCTCAGCCCAACTTTAGGCCAACTTTATCGACTATCTCAGCCCAACTGTAGCCCAACTTTATCCCACCCGTCAGTACCTACAGGGGCAACCTAAACCTAATGACTAACTAATTATCCGTGACAATACCCATTGTGTGTCATCGTAACGCCCGCCCATTGCGGGACGTTGATCTTACTATTCTTCACTGACTTGCCAAATTCAGTAGTTACAAGTTACAAGATTATTTTTTTCGCAGGCCCCACAATAGCATATTGTTCACTGTGGTGTAAAACAAGATTCTCTGCCTCAGTTACTTACGGGGCGGTGTGAGGAATTGTCTGACACTACGTTTGCTACCTTTAATATTTATGTGTGCGAATACCACTATCATTATCCACTGATGAAACCTTACTCACCAACTCAGTAACATTGATGAGCTCTGGTCTCGGAATGGTACACGGAACATGTCTAGGCACAGCCACGCGTCGGTAACATACAGTGATGGCCATGGCCTGTCTCGAATGCTTGGTCAAATGTCAATATTGAGGACTATTGATCGGGGAAAAGCTTGCTATTGGCTTCAAGATGTAATTAAATTTCCTGCTCACTTGTTGATTTACTGCGCCTGAGATGAAAATTTAATTTTATGATCTGAAGTTATCCTGCGGGTGTTGGCGTGACAGTGCTATCGGTCATTGCGGTAATGACCATGCCAGTGGGTGGACAGAGGCAGGTACCCTTGCCATGACCCCTGGTTTCACGAACTTGGCCGGGAGGTTTGTTTACGATCACCCATGTCTCTATATTTGCATTGTCACGGTGATTGAAGTATCTGTTGTTGTGAGCACACCGCGCAGTGATGAATGTCATGGTGATGAAGTGGTATTGCCAAGAGGGAAATGCAATGGAATTATATGAAAAACAATATTCAGTTGAAACATCGTCAACATAATCATACAGGGTCCCGTTTCACAAAGCTATCGTAGCGCTACGACTGCCGTACCTCCTGTGTTGTAACAGACTTATAGCAATCGTAGCGCTGCGATAGCATTGTGAAACGGGGCCCTGATAACACCAAGTACCAGAATGTTTACTGTAGGAGAGAGCGGTTGAAATATGTCCCTGACAGTATCAAACTAGCACCAAGGCGACGTTGAAACCACGTCACTCCCACTCACTTCCATTCAAATCCATCTGAGGAGCACTCCGACCTTTACTATAACAGCCTAACGTGTTGGTAGTTTCTGAAATAAAACGTATTGAATCGTGGCTGTGGTTTGGCAGCAAGGAGAAAACGATGAGACTGATGTTATAAAGTAGTCAAGATCATACATATTCGATCGACTCCGAATGTGAAACCTGACAGTTTTCTGCACTACCCGTTACAGATGGAACTCTATATAAACGATGCGAAAAGTAACTGCTGACAAATCAATCAGGTTGTTAACGAACTCTTGCTCAAATATTGAATATTTGCAATTCTGGCTCTTTCGTGGGAACTTGGATAAGATACTGGTGTGAAGGTAAGGTCTGTTGGGTATGAATGACCCAGTGATATAAAACAGCATTTCCAAGCTGCATCTCTCAGTCGTCATGGTCCGCTAGTTCCCAGAAACACCAAGTGAGCCCTTTGCACCCAAATCCTCCCATATTGACACGGCGGTTTAAAGTGGCATAAAGCCTGACTTGAATCATCAAAGGTGAAACTTAATATGACAGTTTCACAACATTGTCAACACCAGTAGGTTTAATGTTTTACAAGTATTTTGGACATGAGTGAGCGAGTGAGTTTAGTTTTACGCCGCACTTAGCAATATTCCAGCTATATGGCGGCGGTCTGTGAATACTCGAGTCTGGACCAGACAATCCAGTGATCAACAGCATGAGCATCGATATGCGCAATTGGGAACCGATGACATGTGACAACCAAGTCAGCGAGCTTGACACCCGATCCCGTTAGTCGCCTCTTACGACAATCATGGGTTACTGAAGATCAAGATCTAACCCGGACCTTCACGGGTCTATTTTGGACATGATGATTGACATGTATATCGATATGACTATATATTCTTCGTTATGCTACAAATGGAGAATAGACAACGTATCAATTCCTACATGAAATGTCAAAGTTGTTTAAAGTTATATAATAGTCAGCGTTATATTTATTGCTAGAAATAGAAAGGTATCCAAAAAACCGCACTAAAACATATTTTTGTCGAACACAGTATTTTTTAATTCATTATTACATATAACACTGCTGGCGTGTTACTTCCTCTTAACGCTTGAAAAAATACACAGAAGCAATATTCGAATTCTGACAGTTTTACAGGCAATAAAAATGTTATTTGTACAACATTGAATA